CAACTTTTCATGAATTGAGAGAACTGATGTACTTAATTTCAATTAGGGCTATGTTTTGGACCATATTTAGCACAAATTATTTTTTATCTCGAAAACCGATAGAGATAGGTATAGGATATTATAAATAAAAAAGTATTATAATAAAAGAGTGGTTCCAAAAATGTCTTAATATACGGGCAGTTCTATTTAAAAAAATTAAGTTGCTCGGACTTTTTGGTAGAAGTGGCAACGCCGCAATGCTGAAAATATTTTAGATCAATAGAACCGATAAGGAAATGTAAGATGTAAAATTTTCAGAAAAATCCTGCTTTGCGTTTACCATAAACGTCTAACCTACCATCCACCGTGAGTCACACTGTATATGTGCTGTCTGGAATAGATTTCTTTGATAATTGTACATACGTTTTTGTGATGCACCGTTTGGAACCTTTGGTGTAGTAATGAATATTACTGGAGTTTTTTCCCAACACCAAACCGTTATTTTAAAACCCCCACACGTGTTTCGATCACCAAGTGATCATCTTCAAGAGGAAAAAACTCCAGTAATATTAATTATACATTCGTTTCTTATTTTGTCTGGTCAAACTTGTCTCTATATATTAATAATACTAACACTAATAGAAATTCACAGATCAAATAATGAAGTTTAGTTTTTGACACTGAACAAGGTGGCCACAATTATATCATCGAGTTGGAACCCTTTCAGCTAAAGGACCATTGAAGCTGTAGCTTCACAAGGATATACCCATGCATTCAGTTTTTTCAACAATGGAATAGAATAGAATTTATTCACCATTGAAAATTTCACAACTGCATTACACATTATAACATTTTATCAGCCTAAACAGAAACCAAGTTTTTCCGTTAACCAGCTGTCGCACCCCTACGAACGACAACCCTCAGAAGTCAAAACTTGTGCGAGCTAAGGACTAACGAGGTGATTAACGTGTGATTCCTAACACGGGTTGGACGATACCAAGTGATAAATATAAAACACAGCAAATGATAATATGAAACATAAAAATATATGCTTTTCAAAACATCGAAAAAACAATTCATTATTATTATTACTAACATTTATTGGTAGTTTAAGAACTCCTCAGAATAAAATGCATTCCTAGTAGCTGAAAAGAGTTGCTTTGTAAATGTGGAAACTGCATTATTTTCCGACTATTTTAACTTCACTGTTATAACAGATGACATCCTGATAACTGCCGTGATTAAGATAGTCTGAGTTCATTACCCCTTCATGTATTTTAGTCATGAAATACATAATACATAAATTTAAAGGCAGAGAAGAGTCATAATGGACAGCTGAGTGAATGTATGCTCACTTGAATCTTTAAAATACAGATTGCTAGACATTTTATGACTTTTTTGAGTTCGAATAATTTCACAGCAAGGGCTGAGTTTTTCCAGAAGGGCAATTCATATGCCAAAACATATTGAATTGTTGAGTATCAATGTACGCAGACTGTAGTTTCTGTGATATAAATTTGAATATTGTCCTTTTGTGTAATTTTTGCTAAATAGGGAAAAGAAATATTTTAAATTGTGCTCTTGAAAGTATTCAAGTTGATTCATCTGCATAGATTATTGGTTTTTATTGTGACATACTTGAACTTTCTATGTCACTCATATATATTATGAAGACCTAGGAATTTCAAAGTACCTAACCTTTACTCAGGTCGAGTGGGATTATGGCAGAAACTGAGGGGTTTACCAGAGGTCTAACAGGATGGTGTCTTCATTACTTTAGGCTACCATAGTTAATTGATACCACTTGTTACCACCTTCGGCATTCTTATAGTATTGACGAAACACCGATGTTGCTGTATACTAAAATCGTTTTGAGGGATGAAAAATGCTGATTTTATTGAAATTATCAATTCCCCATCCTCAGGCTGATATAAGATAATGAGCCTAATGTAGTTCTCCTCGACCGCCTAAGAAAGACAATATTCTTCGTGAAGTTTTCAGCTCTGAATGAAAAGAATATCGTCCGAAAAGAAATGAAAATCGGATAAAATATTCAGATTTGCTTTTCTGACTTCACAGACTCTATCCAGATAACTCTGTTAAAATGGTTGTCCTTATTTTTGAATTTTGGTGGAATGGTGCACTCTTTACTCTTGAACCTCAAGATAATAATGGCTTGCTGCCCTTAGAACGAAATATTGGAAGAAGGTTCCCTGCAAGTGGCCGTCGATGGATATCTCTCGAATACCTTTACCATCATCGCTGGTGTTCCTCAGGGATTCATATCATCTCCACCCCATTTTTCATTGTATATCAACGACTCTTTGGAAAAAAACAAGAATGCAATCCAAAAATCAAATATTATTTTCTGATACTTCATTTCTTCATTTCAACTACTGACTCTTACCACTTCATTTGCCAGTTTTTTTATTTTCACATGTGCTTTAACCAAAACTATTAGTGATAACTAGACTCATTTTAATAGCCAACAGTTTCCATATTTGTTTATGAAGTTGCAAGCTACCCCAAGAAATTTTTTTGTAAATTACCCCAGCAATTATTTTTCAGTAATTAGTGTGACCAAAGATGTTTCAAAGAAAGATATTATCCCTAGAAAATTTGTGTAGTGATTGAAACCAACCTAGAATTAAATGAGGAAAATATAATAAATTGTGATATTTTTTTAGTCACAATGTTCCCCAACCCTGTTTATGACAGCTAAACCATACTATCAGGTACTAGAATAATATTTGTTTCAGCTTTTGCATGTGTTTTATATGTGGTTACAAACACAGCATTGATGAACACGTTGTACACATGAATTTGCACAACCCAAAATGTGATGTTTGCAACAAAAACTTTGGCACGGGCTACATGCTGAATTTACATATGAAAAATCATACTAAACCTTGTAAATTTTGCACTGACCTTGTCCCATACTCAGAAATTTTGAGTCATGAGAAAAAACACAAAGATGAAGATTTGGAGTTTGAAAAGGGGATGGAGAGAAAGAGAAAGAAGAAGGATGATAAAGATGAAAAGGTATCTCTCATGTAAAATTTCAGATGTCCACAAGTTTTGTAATTCTTCACATTTGTTTTGCAGCCTGTTTATTTCAATGTTCCTCATAAACGTAATAGAGCCTCAAAGTCACCAAGGTTACGCAGTAGATCATTAAATGAAGCAGATAGTGTTGAAGTGACAAGGGCTGATGATGAAATAATTGTTGATATTGAAAAGTCTGACCCGAAAGGTATCGACATAGATAATGTTGAGACAAAAAATATTGAAACAACTAATATTGGGAAAGGTAATGTTCATGAACGCACTGCTGAGAAAAGTAATGTGGAGCAAAACAATGTTGAGTCAAATAATGTTGAACCAACTTTAGCTAAGACCCCCAATATCAATTCAATCAAAGGCAAAAAAAAACATGTTGTAAATGAAAAAGAATCAACGGAATCAAATATATCTTCTCCAATAAAGAAAAAGAGGACACCTAAAAGCGGAGCTTTGAGTAAAAAAGAGGTCGATTTGGAGGAAAAACTTCTCAAAATATGTGAAAAAAGTAAAGAATGTTCGGAAAGAAGAGTCCTTAGGTCTTCTTTTTTGAAAAAATCTTCAGAAATGGAAGGAAGCCCGACTGACTAGACTAATGACAGTAAGTTAATCATTTCAATAATTTATGGTTTTCATAATCTTTCACTGTAATTGAATTTCAACGGTTTATAAAACTGTAACATGTGTTTCACTATACAATAGTTTCTTCAGAGTGTTCTGTGGTAATGGTTAGGTTAGTATTTACATAATTATTTATATCAGGTTAGTATTGAATACGCCTGAAGAAGCTATTGTATAGTAAAACGTGTCGTTGTTTTTTAAACTGTTGACTGAAAATCTCACAATAAAGTGTTATTTGAATATGTTATAATGGATTTGCATCAAGTATCAACTAATACCATCATATGGCACGGTACATTGCAGGCAATAAGGTATGTCTAAGGGAAATAATAATATGAAAAATAATATTCACTTTTACTATAAAAAAACAAAATATGTAAGATGTTTTTTGAAACCTTGCCAATATGTCTTATTTTCCTATGGTAGGATAATGAGACCTACAATTGTAACCCAGAGCATTAAAATATCTAGAAGCGCCTTGCCTTTTATACTACAAAGTGTAGATAGTGGCATGACAACGGTGAATGGAGGAAGAAAGATAGGTATTTCTATGTATTCATTTTAAAAATGGGATGTACTAACATTGAAGAGTATTTCGAATTAATTATTATTATACTTTTCTTCTACTTAATTTAATGAGTAATACGTTATTACTGATGATTAATTTTCTAGAACATCTTTTTCTTCTTATGCTGTAAGCATGTTCTTAAACGTTTTCGTTTAAGATGCTAGTTAATTAATGGTTCAAAACATTTTTATATATTTACCTGCCAATGTGAACAATTTTGAATTTCAGTTTCTAAGCTAACTAGGTATGTTTCTTAGTTTTGGTATCAAGAGTTCTTTAACTTATTTTTTGAAAAGTTGTCACGGACTAGAAAAATTTGAAGAACTACTCAATTATATACAAAATTATATCATAAATAATTTTCTTGATTGAAAAAATGAATTTAATGCAAAAGTGGATGTTTAGTTGGGGATACTAAGTAAAATGAAGTAAAACTTCATTTTACTATGCCAAGTTTTTGACACACTATTTTTTTTGTCAAAGATGCATTGAAAAAATTGTAATAATTAATGAGAGTTATCTGAACGATGTTGACAGTCAAATTATAAAAACGAATATGTGCATAAAAACCAATCAACCAAAAAATATTTTATTATCGCAGAAATAATTTATTGTCGAAACATATGAACAAATAAATTAAAAGTAAAATCAGACGTTAGTGATGTTCACCTTTGTCGATTTTAGTCAACTGATTAGGCTGAAAGAGTTGGAAAGTGGCACCTTCAAAAAGAATGGTTCTACCCCCAGAATGTAGTATTAATGCAGCAAGATAATCTGTTAAACAAACAAATGGAAATTTTCTGCTCGTCTTGCTAGAGTTCTTTACTATGTCTCAGCAACAATTCCAAAAGAAGAATACCTACCACAGAAATTAGAATTTCTTCAAAGAATATGAGATCTATTCATTATGTGAGGAAATACTTGAACAGTATTGCTTTTGAAACATTTCAATAAGTGCAGAAAAATCTAGAGAGGAGTATTCCGAAATACAAAAGATATATATTACAAAGACAGAATGAATAATGCTGCTAATAAAGTGAAAGGAACATGGAATATTGTCAATGAATTGAGGCGAAGGAACAATAACCAAAAATTTGTACATTATATCCCTATATCCCGACACTATTAATGACTTTTACTGTTCCATGTATGAGAAATTAACTGAGAGCCTGAAACCTATACGAGATCCATTAGTGTACCTTTATTGGGTATTGTAATGAAGTTGCACTGCATTAATTTTGGAACAGAGAGAAAATAACACTCATTCATTCAATAACATACAGATAGAAACGTGAATAGTAATTTAGTGTCTGTTCAGTTCGAATGCTTGAAAACTTCTGCCTGTTCTTCTCGTCTACCTCAGGGTTGTGCCTGGCATCCGGGAGGGAAGTGACTGTACAGGGTGAATGCGTGAACATGGCCCCCATGTTGAAAGGACTGGCTTTCAATGTCCTCTATAGGGAGTAGACATATTCTTTTGAAGGATCTCTTGACCAATCCAGTTGAAGTCCGAATGGTGGCCACGTGGTTGATACCATCCTTACCTGGATGCACTGCCTCGATTCTTCCAAGCTTCCATACCATGGGTGGTTGGTTTTCCTCTTTTATCAATACGATAGTTCCTGTCTCTAATTTTTGTTGAGACGTTTTCCATTTGAGCCTTTGCTGAACTTCGGAAATAAACTCTTTGCTCCATCTTCCCCAAAAATGCTGAGTGATTTGCTGCATGCATCCTTTCATATGATGACAATTTGTTTTGTGGTACGGTTCTCAAATCTGCATCTGATGGATGAGTGGAAAGTGGTGTGAGTGGACGAGACTTTACTATTGCCTCGATTTGCGTTAATAAAGAATAAAGTTCTTCAAAAGTGAGGTCAGCGTACACATACACCTTTCGAGTCTATTAATATTTGAGAATTTTTCGAAATCAATCATTTTAGTTTTGCTCGCAATAGGAAATGAACTTAGAATTCTCTTCAATTCGGGAAGGTCTTTGATGTCAACTGAGCCTTTTTCAGACCACTCATTTTTGCTTCGCATGAGCCAAGAAAGGTGATGCCACCAAATCAAACATGAGAATAACCTTGCCGGCTTGACGCCTCTTGATAATGAATCTGAAGGATTTTTGCTGTATTTCCGCTACGTCAAATTTTGTATCCAACGCATCCGAGACCTTTTCCGCTAGCCTCGAGAGCGACAGCTGGTTAACGGAAAACAGATTTCAAATAGATTTTTTTAAAGAATTGTGTAGAGATTGGATATTGACTTCGCATTTTGACTTGATGTATGAAGTAGTACGATTGAGACCACATAATTCTATATTAGTAGGGAAAGTGCTTGAATTCAATTTCCTACATGTATTCTCTCTTATAAAACATGATTCTGAACCTGAATCTAATAGAACCCTGATGGTGTGAATATTTGAATCCAATATTTACAAATGCTGTTGACAGCAATACGCATTTATTAGCAATACTTGTAGATAATGCATGTGAAAGTGCATTATTAAAAGTTTGAGAATTATCCGAATTTGGAACAGGCGTATTATTTTTGGTGTAGTCCACGTGAATTAGGGTGTGATGTTTACCATTACATTTTTTTGCAGTTTGAACAACGCCATATTTTGCTATAGTGATCCGGGCGAAGGCAATTTGTGCATAGTTTTGATTTTTTTACACGTTCGATTCTTTTGCTAACAGAAAGTTTTGAGAAATTCTCTTCTCTTTGCAAAACCTCGTGTACCGCTTTGCTTACTGTATTTTTATCGACAACCCTTTCGTTCTGATTTGATTCTTGCGTTTTTAAGAAATCAGCTCGGGATTTCAGAAATTTCTTTAGATCATCTAAAGTGGGAACGTCTTTATCGACTCTGTACTTTTCCCATTCACGAACTGTTACTGAATCTAGTTTAGTTTGAATCAGGAATACAATAAGAGTGTCCCAATGCTTTGTTGTGGGCTGTTTCAATTGTTCAAACACTCTCAAATTCTTGGAAACTGTATCCAAAAGTTTTCGCAATTTTTCACCTGATTCGTTTCCAATCATTTCCAAATTGAATAAAGATTTTTCGTGATTGTTTACTTACATTCTTTTATTGTCATATCGCTCCTGTAAAATCTTTCACGCCACTGCATAATTGTCGGCAGAAATATGGAGAGATTGGATAACCTGAACAGCACCGCCTTCTAAGGATGCTCTTAGATAGTGAAATTTTTGTATGTCGTTGATATTTGCATTTTTGTCAACCAAAGATTCGAAAGTATCATGAAACTCTAGGTTCGTTGGAAACATTCCACATGAGAAGCAAATATTTGCTAGATGTCCTATAGGCTTACTAGGAGCATCACATGCCATCTTCACTATAACGGAATTGATGTTATAGGCATCTAAACTATTTGAATTTTTCAATGAAGCCATTACAGTTTGCACTTCAGTATCATTAATTAGCTTCAAGAAAAATGAATCCTTCAGTGAAATCTCCATCAGATCTGCACCATCAGTACCTGGGACAATAATATTTGTAATCAGCTCATCAATTACAGAAGTTGAATAGCTATTAAAAGTATCAGCAGAAATATCTGAATTTTTATGGACGACTTGTGACTTTCCATTAAATTGATTTATTATCGAGCACGTTGTTTTACCAACATTGTCACTGTTTAGAATGTTGTCATTATAACAACTAGATTTAGGTTCTTTTATTTTTCTCCTATAACTGTTTCCCATGTTTATATATTTTCTTTTATTTATTTCATTGCCAGTCATTAACCAAATATCCTTCTGATTATTTACATTATTCCTCATTTGTTTCAAATCATCATCAAATCAATTAATTTTTCTTTGTCTTCAATTAACTTTTTTTCTGTGGGAGAGCTACTTCACTTGCATATCTGATTTCTTCACTTATAAACGTTACTAAAAAATCCAGATCAGTAGACGTGTAATAAGTTGACCATTTGATTTTACTAATAATACCTAAATTCTGAGACACCAACATTTGAAATTGGTTTAATTGAATTAATTTTTTCCACAGTAGGCAGGTCATCTCTAGCAATTGATATTTCTAGGCCATAGTGTTCAGATATGTCATATTTAATAACTTGTGTGGTCGAAATTTGTCAAAATATTATCAATGCAGGTGGAGGAATGATTGGTGACTAAAGTTGGTTCTTGTATCGAATGCCTGAAGTTGAATGCATTCAATGTATTACACAGTATTTTTTTTACTGATTTAGGGGAAAAGTCCACATTGAAATCCCCTAATTTTGTGTGTAATTTTGTGTTGTAAATTCAGCGAGTGAGTCAAATGAAGATACAAAATTCAGAAAATTTTCCTTACCTGATCGATATAAGCATACTACCAGTATATTAAATACAGTTATTGCCGCAAACTCTACATCAACTTCAGTGCAATATCCATATTCACATCATTCGTTATAATATCATTTCGAACCTATATTGCCACTCCGCCATGCTTAAACGTAATCTACCAAGTGGTAATTAATGATGTTGATATTAGAGATTAAATCGCTTGTTAACCAAGTTTCACATATACAGACTAAATCATATATGGTTTTTCCTGACATACAATATTAAATTCATCAATTTTATTAGCTAAAGATTGAGATTTAGAAAAAAAATTATAATTCCTGATTTTGTTCATATGGCACTATATCCAATTGATGTTCGTTGGTTGACATCCTTGCATTAATAGACAAGTGTGTCATACAGATATGAGTCTCAGATAATGAGTATTCCTCATTTTCTATAAAAAAGAGTTGGGCCAATAAAATTAATGTTGAGACTTAAATTGATGTGGATTATCAAGGAAATGTTGACCTAATTTAAAGTTAAAGCGACTGTACCTCACTCCTTCAGGCTATAAACTACTTTCATAGATCTATTCCTTTAGATGAGGCTCAACTCCTGTTTTAAAATCTGTTTTTTCGTTAACCAGCTACGAACGACAACCCTCAGCAGTCGAAACTTGTGCGAGCTAAGGATTAATGAGGTCTTATCTTTCAACGTGGGATTCCTAACACGGGTTGGACGATAGCGACTGAAAATCGATCGTTCAGACTAGGGCTTGAATCACCGACCAACACGGAAATTAATTCGAGTGAGTGTACAAAGCACCCACGTCGAACCGCCTACCATAAAGGATTGATTATCATGCCTAGTTCTTTTGGTTGGCAGTTTTTTCATACTGACATTGTCTGAATTTGTGCGGGTTTTTATATATTTTTCAATATTTTCTCCTATAACTTCATCTGATACCCTTGTCAAAAATAACCATAGTTTTTTAGAGTTATTTCGTCTGCCATGAAAGTTGTCATTGCCACATCCGCTACCTTTCATATGTCTCCTTCCATATGTCTCCTCCTTCTTATCACTGTTGTGAACCCCGAGTAGTTTTCATTTTCTTCATCTTTATTTGTGAGGTCCATCAACTCTGCATTTTAATTCTGTTTGTATTTGCATTATATTGGCAGCAACCACTTGTTCAGTAATCTTAGAATCGCCCCTATTGCTTGTCAACTGGTTTCTCACACTTGACTCACCCTGTTCATTCGAATAGCTACACGTGCTAGGTTGTTAAAATACCTTGTTGTTAAAATACCTTTACATTCATTATTTTTTATGTTCAATGTGTTCTTATTTATTCGTTCAACTTTTTTATCCAACATGCTTTTGGTTGAGTTTTTTTGTATTTGGTTGATTACTTTTGAGGGAGTCAAATTTTCGAGACCCTTCAAGCAAAGTCATTTTTTCTGTTAGTAGTAGTATCAAGTGCTCCTTGTCCTGTATTATTTTGTCTTTATCCTGTGAAATTTGCCTGAGTAATTTATTCTCTTCTCTCAGGAATATTTCTTCTGTGACTATAGTCTCTTTCTGAATGATCAAGTCATCTGCTTCTTGTTTACATTCTGTTTTTTTTCTGATCAGCTGCTTGTCTCAAACACTCTGGATGGAATATATGATCACATTTGATGCACTTCACTTTATCTATTACTTTTTTCAAACAGTGTTTACAAGTGTAATCATTTATTTTTTTAGACTGAAATAAAACCGCTTCTGCTCCGGCGGCCATGTTTACCTTGATATGTTTGATATGTTTTAGATGTGCGTGATCAGATTATAGTTT